TATGCACCTTAATGTCCTGACAGTAGTCCTTCACTTGAKGCTGTTCCTGTTCACGTTTTACAGGCCTCTATCAAAAGCCTTCAGGACTCGGTCACTCTTRAGAACAATCAAGCACTGGAGCAAGTCTTAAAATATGCTATGGACAAAGCAGTTGGTAAGAAAGGCATTTATGAGTGGGTTTGTTAAAAAGGACATTAATAGCCATGTTCAATGGGTTAACTTTCCTCGTTGTAGCCCGTTATCATTAAGTTGCCTGACAAAATCTTTTTCAAGAGTTCTGTTGTAACATTAGTTCCAGAGAATACATTGARAGTCATCCATATTTTTTCGAGTTTTAAGACGGTMATTTGATGGTCGTGACGCTCAGTTATGAGGCTCAGTGCTGTTCTGTCATTGTTTGATATTTCAGAGGCATTTCTTAAGATGTCAAGGGACAGCTCACCRAGGACTCTCAACGTTCTGCATAAGACTTTGGACAATGCCAGGCAGGAAGCTTTCGAGGTASGCTAGTGTCATACATCGACTTAAATAGACTCTATCATTGTTTCTGAAAACACATCTGTTAATTCATTAAAACATCGGTAGAATCGTTTGTTCTTTGASAACTAGCATCATGATGTCAACCTGATTTATTTCATTACATTATTCATCTTTGTAGGTGTTTGAAGCAGAGAGTGACATCGCTGTGCAAGAGACCATGTTTCTGCCCTATAAGTCTATGCTGAAGGTAATACATTATTACGATACAAACCTGAGGCTGATACAGCTGTTTGTGAATTCCACGGTGCGTTTTCCGGTTTATTTTGATATTRGACATTGCAGCAATGCAGTTTACACTAGCTGAGATTAGGATATTCATACTTCATAGACTCTTTTAAAGGAGAAAAACTTCGTGTATGCCATGCACTGACTGCATTATATTATCCATTAAGAAATGGCCAGCAGAAAGTACATGCGTTACAAAGGTGAAGGAACCATTTTAATTAACAGTATTTTTTTCAAGGATTTAGCGCGCTAATTATTCAAACAATAGTCTTCACGGTTCTTTACGCCATCTTGAAAGGTAGCCGTGCCTTTGCATCGAAGCGAGACGACCGTYGAGCGTGCAATGATAGAAAGCTTCTTTCACACCTACAGACAATTATTCACAGGTATCTATCATTGCACGCTCAACGGTTGTCTCGCTTTGATATAAAGGCACGGCTACCTTTCAAGATGGCGCAGGGAACTGTGAAGGAGACTATTCTAACTACTCTTTTGAAGCCGCAAACCGTTAAACGGAACCCCCATCGAGACCCTTCTAAAAAGGGTCTGGAACTGGACTAAAATATTCGTTGATTTACGTATACAGTTTAAACACCTTGTTTTCATTTGTATAACTATTTACAAATGCATGAGGGAAATATGATTGGCTAACAACACCACGTGAATAGTCCCTGGAAGCAAGCTATATGTCATTAATTGTTTTCAGAGTCAGTTGGATAATCACGTGATATCAATAGGCCAGGAAAATGAGAATCTTGTTCGACAGCAGGCCACCGCTAAGGTACACAGTTATCCCGTATTTAGTGGCTTTCTTTAATTTGAAAATGTTTGAAAAGTGTCTGSTCAATTTCCCTCTTGTCCGTTAATAGGTGAGAGAACTGGTACTGGAATTCAAAGATAACACTGTTAAAATAGGACTTCCTCTGAATGAAACAGACCTGGAAACTAGGTACAACACTTGTCACATAACAGCAACCATAATAACTAAGTCACACAACTCTTGTCACATAACAGCAACCATAACTAAGTCACAGTGCTTTAAACCATGGAAACTAAGTACAACTCTTGTCACATAACAGCAACCATAATAACTAAGTCACAGGCACTGCTGTAAACCCGAAATAATTAACGCTACAACATTATAGTTCATGGGAATTGTTATATTCATGTTAAGGTTCTAAAACTCTTTTCTTCTCGATACGTCATCGAGCCCACCTGTTAACGACCCTATAATAGGCACGGTCTACACGTACCCGGATTCATCCGGATCCACACGAGTATTCGTTATGTATTCGATATCGTGAAGATTATATCAATCCGATGACATCAAGAGGACGTATCTAGATTGACAGATTCATTTCCACGAGAAAACCCTGTGGATTGTATATTGATCGGGATACGTGTGAACGAGGTTCTTAGTGGTTTCATGCTGTGGACTATATCATCTATTACTAATAAATACAGGCGAAGAGTGTTGCTCTGCAAGGGTCACGTTTCTAGAAACTTTCTCTGTTGATTTATACTCCTCGTGCTTGTTTGTACAGACTTGTTGCTGAAAAAGAAAGGATTCATACAAGCTATACGAGTTCTCAGGTACTTTGCATTTTAGTGTAATCGAAAATCACTTCCTCGTAGCACTTTGTTCATTCCTCTTTCATCCATACTTAGCAAACGTTTTTCCAATACTCTTCCCCCCAATACTAGGAAGTCCATCGTCCCTACTGATCACAACCAATTCCCTTATAGGCCTGTCCACGTTATCGTCCCAAAATGAGGCTTTCAATGTTATTGTGAGAAAACAAGAAAAATGAAAAAATGCATTTTTGGGACGATTGGGGCGATAAAATTCATCTAATAATTAGGGTCTTGGCCCAGGGTGTCTGTATAATCGCCCCAATTCCTGAATACCACGTTACATCATCGCCGCCATATTGGATGAAAATAACAAAGCATCCCTCATTCGCTTGCTCATTCATCCAACATGGCGGAGATAGCTTTGTTCTTTATTTCACGAGGGATTCTTGATCATGTGGTTGCAACCCAAGGATGGTTAAAAACGAATTTTTGAATTCTAGCTTCAGAAGGGATTGAACAACAATCGAAAAACGATTTGTTTTTCCGATTTTGACGATTATATGGATAATGTGGAAATTAAATCTCGCATATTATGGATATGATTGTTCATTTCATGTTTTGTATTGATCATTTCAGGCGGGATTTGAAGAATTTGAATCAATAAAGACCGTCTTCAAGTCTCTTGAGGTACTATCAATCAGTCAAACAGTAAATGTTTCGTAGAGAAGACTTGTTTCCGCCATGATCATTGGTAAAAAAAGGAATCAAAAGGATTGAAAATGGTTGATTGTGTCATGCTGTGATTGGCTGAACATCTAGCCAATCAGTACCTTCTGCGTTCACCATCTTCATCAAATGCAAATTGCAGAAAATGTTTTGCCAAGTTTTACTGTAGACAATTTCCGCGATTTTAAAAATAGTGATGGTGTGCACACAAAGATGAGATGTTTACGGGCAAACTATAAGCGAGATTCAAACAATGTCATATTACAATTTTTTATCCGTTGATGTTCCTTAGAATACAGTATAAGCACGTAGAGGTATTTATTTACAGTTAACTATTTACATTAAAAAAAATCAAATACTTCTGTTAAGGACGTTCGTGGGCACTGGACTCCGTGATGTCACTTCGATGAGTGACGAAATACGCGATGACATAAACTTGCAAAAAAGCGATAAAAAAGTTAGAGATAATTCTTGCACAAAATCACCAAAATTGTCAAACAAAAGCGCGCGAAAAGGGGTCGATGCCGTCTGCCAAAAAAGTTCCCGAAAAATATAAAACACATAGCAATTGATCCAAATTTTTCCACAAAAGTTGAGGTCGATAATTGTTAATATTGTTTACGAGACTTTGAAACATTACATGATGTGATTTTTGATTTCTTTAGGACTTTTGTTTGTGTCAAGCCGCGACATTCGACGTCAACAAGAGGTGTCATTTCCAGCTAAAACTACTATATTTCAAAAACCTCTGATGTCGTTTTTCCGCTTTCGTTATATTTTTTCCAAGTAGCCTTCTTTTAAGATAAATAGAAATTGGGGTTACCGGGTTCGTTGTCGAGATATTTCGTCACGAAAACTAAGATTTTGCAGACCATCTTGAATTGCGAGAGATTTTTTTCTGCCAATCTACGACTTTTCAGAGCATTTTGAACACTTTTTCACCTCATCAATTCTTTAGCAGTAGTAAATCTCCCAATTTTTGAACGTGAAGACATTTTGCATACAAGCAGAAGTTCAGAAAAGTACGTACAAAACCACACAAACACATAACAAGAGCGGTCGCCATCTTTGTTTTGCGTGATGCAATTTCGTGACAAGTTCCGGTTTTGGCGTGCGCCGAAAGCGTGCGCAGTAGCAATGCCCTCGAACGTCCTTAATGCTGATGTTGTTTGTTTAGGAAGCGGTAGAGGAGGTCTGCAAAGAACGTCGTCATGACAACATGGTAGCGTACAGTAAAGAAGTAGAGGTACCTNGAAAATGTTTTGCCAAGTTTTACTGTAGACAATTTCCGCGATTTTAAAAATAGTGATGGTGTGCACACAAAGATGAGATGTTTACGGGCAAACTATAAGCGAGATTCAAACAATGTCATATTACAATTTTTTATCCGTTGATGTTCCTTAGAATACAGTATAAGCACGTAGAGGTATTTATTTACAGTTAACTATTTACATTAAAAAAAATCAAATACTTCTGTTAAGGACGTTCGTGGGCACTGGACTCCGTGATGTCACTTCGATGAGTGACGAAATACGCGATGACATAAACTTGCAAAAAAGCGATAAAAAAGTTAGAGATAATTCTTGCACAAAATCACCAAAATTGTCAAACAAAAGCGCGCGAAAAGGGGTCGATGCCGTCTGCCAAAAAAGTTCCCGAAAAATATAAAACACATAGCAATTGATCCAAATTTTTCCACAAAAGTTGAGGTCGATAATTGTTAATATTGTTTACGAGACTTTGAAACATTACATGATGTGATTTTTGATTTCTTTAGGACTTTTGTTTGTGTCAAGCCGCGACATTCGACGTCAACAAGAGGTGTCATTTCCAGCTAAAACTACTATATTTCAAAAACCTCTGATGTCGTTTTTCCGCTTTCGTTATATTTTTTCCAAGTAGCCTTCTTTTAAGATAAATAGAAATTGGGGTTACCGGGTTCGTTGTCGAGATATTTCGTCACGAAAACTAAGATTTTGCAGACCATCTTGAATTGCGAGAGATTTTTTTCTGCCAATCTACGACTTTTCAGAGCATTTTGAACACTTTTTCACCTCATCAATTCTTTAGCAGTAGTAAATCTCCCAATTTTTGAACGTGAAGACATTTTGCATACAAGCAGAAGTTCAGAAAAGTACGTACAAAACCACACAAACACATAACAAGAGCGGTCGCCATCTTTGTTTTGCGTGATGCAATTTCGTGACAAGTTCCGGTTTTGGCGTGCGCCGAAAGCGTGCGCAGTAGCAATGCCCTCGAACGTCCTTAATGCTGATGTTGTTTGTTTAGGAAGCGGTAGAGGAGGTCTGCAAAGAACGTCGTCATGACAACATGGTAGCGTACAGTAAAGAAGTAGAGGTACCTCTGTCTACCAGTAAAAAGATCGTATTGATTTCAGCAGACAATTACGATACCGAGTTCTCACTGAAACAATATGTAAGTCAGCACTGTCATTATTTAACAGGGGTGGGCTGCCTGTGTTAAGATCAAGAGATACTCACTTCTCTTCACGGTTTTGCAAGATCTTATCCGATTGGTAGCTATTTTTACTAGCTATTTGATGAATAAAAGAAAACAATAGGATTTATATAATTGGCATTGTTTTATTCCTCTAATCACAAGAAACCTTACAAACTCGTGACGGTTAACAGACTTCTCTTGGTCGACATTGCCCAGCCTGGTTGAACGAAATTTGAAAGTTTCGTGTTCTTTACCCAAGCAAATTGTTAAATACTTTTTGACATGTGCTGTATTACAAATCTAGTATTACAATTCTATTTGAATATTTTAGATCCGTCAAGTGTGTCTTCTGAACCTCGACGAAGGTAAACCGAAACACTGGCCGTTGTCTCTTAAGAACACCATCATTGACAACTTCATTGAAACAGACACAGACATGCGCACTATTGTCACATCAAGACGAGGCTTATGGAAAAATGTCAAGGGATTTATACAATGGCTGCTTTGGATTTTTGGGTTATTTTGATGACACCGCGTAAATAAACTACTTTAAGTGCAGGCACAATACACAATAAAAAGCGGCTTCGAGATTTGTTTATTTAATTCGGTCAAGTGTATTKCAGGACACGTAGTTCAGCCATGTATTTATTGCATCCAAATGCAATTATGCGTCATAAACCGATGGAATTTCAAGTCGTAATGTTTCATTGGAGGCTGAATGTAGTATTCCTTATGTAACCGTAAGTTACGGTAATGAAACATGCTGTCCAGTAAGATTCCAGTAGGATTTTTTTTACTTATTTCAAAATGGAAATGATAAAGCTGTCTAAGAACAAGAATTTAAAAGTTCCTTATTGATAGTTCTATATTTTTGTGTTGTTTATAATCCTATTGATATTTATATCTTAATRATATTTATAAATAAATGTCTCCACTCTTGCTATATGATATACTGATATAATTGCTCAAATGGCTGTCGCACTTGATTCAATTCGTTTAATCACTCTATCAAAMTATAGAACTCTTATTGCAATTTTTGAACTCTTTTACGCTCACGCTAAACTATACATCCACGAAAAGGGTGTATTTTTCAATTACGTCATGATGTCATAATCATATTTCTTATCTTTAAAAGTTCAAGATATAATTTTTACCATCCTCAGGCGTCCCTCTAGTAGAGCGATAGGACTCTTCCCCTCGGTTTAATGGATACCTCCTTCAATTACTAATAGCTCTCACTTTCGGGCTGCATTTCAGGGTCTCTCTTTTGAGGTCTCTATCCCGAAGAATGTCTTAAAGCSCGGTATAGTAACATATAACAGTGTCGATGTGATCCTTTGGGGCATCTGCTACCCGGGACTCCGGGGTAAAAGTACCCGGGGATGCTCGTCAAACATTTTCAAAAAGACCACTAAAAGATCTTGGAAGTCTTGAAGAAAGGGCGTGACAACCTGATTTTTAACGACTTAGAGATTGCACAACAAACATTGTTAAATTACATCAGTTCCAATGATAAAAACACAGAGGAAAATCAATATCGATGCGGTCTTTCTCTTCTTTTTCCACGCCCTAAGAGATTGCAGAAAATGCAAATTTCCAGAAAATGCAAATTGTCACCCTAAAAGATGTGAATCACGAATTTTTTTCACTAAGAAATCCTACGAGAACATCCACGGTACTTTTACCCAAGTCTCCCTCCTCACCGGGACATGCTAGCGAAAATCGGGACAGTCAATCAAGTCAATCGATAGTGCGTTTCTTTGCTACAAGACGTGCTACTTCATTAGAGAAGGAAGATGCAACATCTTTGGATCCGTGCAGTGCTAGTCACAGGGGTACTARAGCTTTTTTCGCGTCCATGATGAGATTCTAGCTACCGCCACGGGAGGTCTGCGCCGAAAAATATCCAACACATTTATTAAAATACAGCGAACGAGGCATTGRGTTTATTATAAATTGCATRCATTATCCAAAGCAAGAAAACATTGACATGTTGCATATAAGCAGGAACATTATAAACTTACTAAATACATCATATGATCTGGACCTTACGAACTAACTAGTGTTTAAGGTAGCAGCGATTATATTATAAACTTAGTGAACACATCGATTTATATGATCTGGACCTTACGAACTAACTAGTGTTCAAAATAGCAGCCATTATATTATAAACTTAGTGAACACATCGATTTATATGATCTGGACCTTACGAACTGACTAGTGTTCAAAATAGCAGCCATTATATTATAAACTTAGTTACTGAACACATCGATTTATATGATCTGGACCTTACAATCTGACTAGTGTTTAAGGTAGCAGCCTTTATGTGAGTGTTTGGATTTTGTTTATTCTGGTTTAAAGAACTGGAACTCTTCAAACTCGCCCACATCAAATTGCTGTTGGCCTCCTTCACAATAATTTGGTAAAACAAACACTTCCTGGTCAGGAGTTCCAGGAACAAAGGTTCCTGCATAAGCCTGGAAATTCCTGCTTGTTTTGGACATCTGGCTTCCTGGCAGCTCCATACGAAACTGCAGTGGTTTCCCTGTGATAATCAGGCCACGTGATTTAATGGATCATCTTATATATAATAATTAATTTTATAACAAAGGTGGGTAGCCAAAACAGTGCATGTAAAACTTATAGCTAAAATAATTTTTCATTTAAGTTAGAATTGTCGTTAGGTGAGTTAAACCAAGTTTGCCGGCGGTAGTTATTCACTGTCATTGATGGCGCTCCAGTTATCTGCACTTATCACCCGTGGAAGATACTACARTATTTAGTAGCTGAGTATACTCATCGTACCTGCCACGCCCACCTAGTAATCATTTGATACCTTTTAGAGGTCACGTATTAAAAATTCATGACACAATCATCCCCACCCCCTGAAAGCATGAACCTTCCCCCTCCCCTCCCCCAATCCCTGGCTGTGAYCAGCAGTATCTGTAACATGACCTTACCGCTGTAGCTGTTCCATATGTATGTATTGATTGGTATACCACTGTTTCTTCCCCCGGATTTCCAGAGCCATCTTTTGGTGATGATACCAGTRACTTCTTCGGTGCCGTCGTACTTGAAGAATGTACCGATGTCGGTTATCTTTTTAGGAAACGTGGAAATGATGGACTTTGTGCAGCGTGTAGCGGATGGAATCACATGGTACTATAATCAATGCAGTTATGGGATTAATTAATACTGAGTGTATACTGTCTGTCAATAGCTTCCTTGCACCGACGGTTTTGAAAGGTAACCGGGCTTTCGTTTTTAGCGAGGCAAAAAAAGATGAAAAAACTGAATGTTTTTTTTCCATATTTTTCTTCATTATTATTAAACATGCACATGTGAATATTTTTATTCATCAAATGTCAAATCTTTAGCATTCTTTTGTTAATTTTTATTCATTATTTCATTATCGTCATTGTCTCCTTGCAGTCCACTCTTTTGCTTGGGTTCTTTTCCCCAGGTCCCTTAACGCACAAATTCAAAGCGAAAAAACCGAAAATAAGAGAAAGYACGAGAAAATGTCGTAATTACAATAGCCATGAAAAATTGCACTTTTCCCTGGTTAAGACTAGMCCTGTATTCTCATAAGACCTGAGGGTTAAGCCTTTTGGGAATACAGGGTTAGCCTCAACTTGGTGAAAATGTATATTGTGGAAATTGGAAACCTAAAAGACAGTTTCCGCAAGAATCACATGCTTACCAAATCATACGTTGACTGCTTATTCGCTAGAACAATAAAATACTCATAAGCAGGGTCGTGTGGGGCAATCGTGTTGTCTTGTCTGTATTTCCGGTTCACTGTGTCACGCCACATTGCAAAACGGCTGTACCTGTAAGAAAATATAACGCAATACYTGCAACATAATGCGTGACAGTTTATTCGTGACTTGGATGCTTACGTTGTGTGACAGCCAGCTGGAGAGCAGATTTTATCGATGGTATTGAAGTCAGCCGTATAATCTTGAGGCCATACTGGTGGTAAAGTGTAGTTACCGCAAGGGTTGCTGGTCTGGCATGGTATACCCATACATGTACACCTAGAATTAACAGAATTAATGATAGATATCTTAAAGTCATATTGTTTGGCATGCGTTTTCATTTCACGCACATAAAAGCCTTTACTTTATCATTGAAAATTAAAACTAGCTTTTTCTCTAACCGAGATCATGATCAATAAAAATGTGTGTTTAAGTTAGAGTATTTTTAACAATAAAGTAAAGGCTTGTTTGTGCGTGAAAAGACAAGCGATGGCTTTTAAAAGAAGTCAAGACATGTAATTTCCAGAGACCTTTAATGTCAAGTCTAGAAAAATATCGCTGAATTTTAATATCGAGTGTTAGAAAAACTAGTTTGCCAAAAAAAGAAAATGTCTCAGTCTCATCCGCCTCTGTCTGCTTTAAATTCTCTTCACCATGCTCACTATCGTGACAGTATTGCATTACAAATGGTAGGAAACACAATGTCACGCAATACCTTGTCTTTGGCGGACATTCATAAACATGATCCTCCACTTTTCCTGTTTTKGGGTTGTAAACGCAGTCATGGTAGCCAGTAAGGTTGGGTTCACAGAATTTACCGGGCGGACCTTCATCACAGATTCCGCCGCTGCATAAAGGTACTAGCATTAGAGCCACAAGAATCCCAGCGAAATTCATTCTAAAGGACCTGTCAGAACAGGAAATCATCTATTGAGCTATTTCATTACCGAAGAAGAATAAGAAAGGTACAAATGCAGTAGCTTGATGCAATGGTAACCAGATGTAGAAGTTAACAAATAATTTCCGGTTGGAAAGGAATTCTTTTCGTTTTTTCATATAATGTTGCAATACAGTTTAATTTCAGAAATTTTGCTTTCAATTTACTGACACCCTATAAATCACACAGATTTCACGTTAGTTTCTAACAGTGCCTTTGTGTTTCAGTACATATTTGATTTCCGCCTGAGATTGTACTTCGGCCTTTAATGATGCTGGGCAAACTGGAGGATATTCTGATGTATTCCTGCTAGAACTGCGCAGAGCAACATTTGGAAATTCTTTGCATAACCGCATAACGCAACATTAATAAAAAAAATTTAAAATATCTCACCCTTGAAAGACGTTTATCTTGAACCGGAAAAACAAAACTATAACTGACCAGCTCTGCTTGGCAGTTGGAATCACAGCAGACTGAGCAGGGTTATAACTATATGAAGAACAATAATGACGAAATTCACTTCAACTTGTTGATTGGACAAGCTTTCTTGACCAATGACATCATTTATTTSTTTAATTATGATTGGTCAGATGRMATGCAATGGTGTTATTTTCAAGAGTTGATTGGTCTACTCGAACAATGGTATTTCTAGATTATTYTAGGAAGCTTTTGCTTTRTGAGTCATTTTYCAAAAACTCTATTTTAAGTCCATCGATAACAATAGATTGCATACTCATCACAAAAGATCACGAGACAGGAAAATCYCTAGTCAGGGAAAMCCCCGCAAGATGATGAGACAAAACGTGATCACTATTTCCTGAATGCTTTTATTTTTGATGAAAAAATAAATGCTGATCTCATCAGTACCGCATACTTGRAGGGTAACGAGGGTCAATTGAGACACATCATGAATTATTCCACCTCATTCTGACTACATATAGACACCGTGACATGCAATATGCACAAACACTATTATATCATTATATACTCCAAAAAATGATTGGAAGAAAAAAACACTGAAAAGAAAAAAAAACATAAACAAAACAAAATAAAGCAAAAAATAAAAAAAAAATAAATAAAAAATAAAATAAAAAATAAAATAAAAGTTAAAAACAAAACAAAAAGTAAGTTGATAAGTTTGACAAAAAGATTCCATCTTTCTTTACTTCTCGTCTCATGGTTTACGTTTCCGGTTCCCATCACATTTTGACTTCATATATATGTGCATCTATTATTAGAGTACAGACGCTCATTGAAAGTGTAATCTATTCCTTTAATCTAATATTTTCCTCTAAATTATTCTGACTGCTCTGTATTTATGCATTTAACATATAGATTCCATTTCTCCGTGCGTCTATACTCTAAAAGATACACTGATGACCTCAAAATCCCGGGGAGGAGGGGACGGACTCCGGTTTGAGGAGTACCGGGGATGCTCGTCGGATCTTTTAGGGGTAAAAATTCGTGATTGTAAATCTTTTAGGGTGCTAATTTGGAGTTTATGGAAATTTGCATTTTCTGCAATCTCTTAGGGTGTCGGAAAAGAAGAGAAAAATGTCGTAATTACAATAGCCATGAAAAATTGCACTTTTCCCTGGTTAAGACTAGCCCTGTATTCTCATAAGACCTGAGGGTTAAGCCTTTTGGGAATACAGGGTTAGCCTCAACTTGGTGAAAATGTATATTGTGGAAATTGGAAACCTAAAAGACAGTTTCCGCAAGAATCACATGCTTACCAAATCATACGTTGACTGCTTATTCGCTAGAACAATAAAATACTCATAAGCAGGRTCGTGTGGGGCAATCGTGTTGTCTTGTCTGTATTTCCGGTTCACTGTGTCACGCCACATTGCAAAACGGCTGTACCTGTAAGAAAATATAACGCAATACTTGCAACATAATGCGTGACAGTTTATTCGTGACTTGGATGCTTACGTTGTGTGACAGCCAGCTGGAGAGCAGATTTTATCGATGGTATTGAAGTCAGCCGTATAATCTTGAGGCCATACTGGTGGTAAAGTGTAGTTACCGCAAGGGTTGCTGGTCTGGCATGGTATACCCATACATGTACACCTAGAGTTAACAGAATTAATGATAGATATCTTAAAGTCATATTGTTTGGCATGCGTTTTCATTTCACGCACATAAAAGCCTTTACTTTATCATTGAAAATTAAAACTAGCTTTTTCTCTAACCGAGATCATGATCAATAAAAATGTGTGTTTAAGTTAGGAGAGTATTTTTAACAATAAAGTAAAGGCTTGTTTGTGCGTGAAAAGACAACCGATGGCTTAAGAAGTCAAGACATGTAATTTCCAGAGACCTTTAATGTCAAGTCTAGAAAAATATCGCTGAATTTTAATATCGAGTGTTAGAAAAACTAGTTCGCCAAAAAAAGAAAAATGTCTCAGTCTCATCCGCCTCGGTCTGCTTTAAATTCTCTTCACCATGCTCACTATCGTGACAGTATTGCATTACAAATGGTAGGAAACACAATGTCACGCAATACCTTGTCTTTGGCGGACATTCATAAACATGATCCTCCACTTTTCCTGTTTTKGGGTTGTAAACGCAGTCATGGTAGCCAGTAAGGTTGGGTTCACAGAATTTACCGGGCGGACCTTCATCACAGATTCCGCCGCTGCATAAAGGTACTAGCATTAGAGCCACAAGAATCCCAGCGAAATTCATTCTAAAGGACCTGTCAGAACAGGAAATCATCTATTGAGCTATTTCATTACCGAAGAAGAATAAGAAAGGTACAAATGCAGTAGCTTGATGCAATGGTAACCAGATGTAGAAGTTAACAAATAATTTCCGGTTGGAAAGGAATTCTTTTCGTTTTTTCATATAATGTTGCAATACAGTTTAATTTCAGAAATTTTGCTTTCAATTTACTGACACCCTATAAATCACACAGATTTCACGTTAGTTTCTAACAGTGCCTTTGTGTTTCAGTACATATTTGATTTCCGCCTGAGATTGTACTTCGGCCTTTAATGATGCTGGGCAAACTGGAGGATATTCTGATGTATTCCTGCTAGAACTGCGCAGAGCAACATTTGGAAATTCTTTGCATAACCGCATAACGCAACATTAATAAAAAAAATTTAAAATATCTCACCCTTGAAAGACGTTTATCTTGAACCGGAAAAACAAAACTATAACTGACCAGCTCTGCTTGGCAGTTGGAATCACAGCAGACTGAGCAGGGTTATAACTATATGAAGAACAATAATGACGAAATTCACTTCAACTTGTTGATTGGACAAGCTTTCTTGACCAATGACATCATTTATTTSTTTAATTATGATTGGTCAGATGRMATGCAATGGTGTTATTTTCAAGAGTTGATTGGTCTACTCGAACAATGGTATTTCTAGATTATTYTAGGAAGCTTTTGCTTTRTGAGTCATTTTYCAAAAACTCTATTTTAAGTCCATCGATAACAATAGATTGCATACTCATCACAAAAGATCACGAGACAGGAAAATCYCTAGTCAGGGAAAMCCCCGCAAGATGATGAGACAAAACGTGATCACTATTTCCTGAATGCTTTTATTTTTGATGAAAAAATAAATGCTGATCTCATCAGTACCGCATACTTGAAGGGTAACGAGGGTCAATTGAGACACATCATGAATTATTCCACCTCATTCTGACTACATATAGACACCGTGACATGCAATATGCACAAACACTATTATATCATTATATACTCCAAAAAATGATTGGAAGAAAAAAACACTGAAAAGAAAAAAAAACATAAACAAAACAAAATAAAGCAAAAAATAAAAAAAAAATAAATAAAAAATAAAATAAAAAATAAAATAAAAGTTAAAAACAAAACAAAAAGTAAGTTGATAAGTTTGACAAAAAGATTCCATCTTTCTTTACTTCTCGTCTCATGGTTTACGTTTCCGGTTCCCATCACATTTTGACTTCATATATATGTGCATCTATTATTAGAGTACAGACGCTCATTGAAAGTGTAATCTATTCCTTTAATCTAATATTTTCCTCTAAATTATTCTGACTGCTCTGTATTTATGCATTTAACATATAGATTCCATTTCTCCGTGCGTCGGATCTTTTAGGGGTAAAAATTCGTGATTGTAAATCTTTTAGGGTGCCAATTTGGAGTGTATGGAAATTTGCATTTTCTGCAATCTCTTTGGGTGTCGGAAAAGAAGAGAAAGATAGTGCGCATCGATATTGATTTCCTCGCGTTTTGTTTTGCCATGAAATATCTTATACATTTTATCATTGGAACTGATGTAACAATATTTGTAGTGCAATCTCTTAGGGGATAAAAATTAGTCAGCCACGCCCTTTTTTCAAGACTTTCCAGGATCTTCTAGAGGTATTTCTGAAAATTTCCGACGAGCATCCCCGGTACTTATACCCCGGAGTCCCCCGGGGCTAAAATGTGATGAGAATAAAAAGGTCCATCACGAGGCGAAGTCGCCGGAGCCCCGTAATTGTTGTTTTTATCACAGATTCACGTGTAAAAATGGGAATGCACACGACTTTTTAGTTGCTATTTTATGAATTATTATTGTCTTTAGATCTAAAATAAGCAGAATAAGTCATCTCGATTTATCCAGGATTTGGCTATAACGCGAGACGGGATTAATGGCTTGAAACGACTCGTTCCGAAATTGACACTGATCATCTACTAGTGTAGGCTTCGTGTAGGCTAGCAATAGAATAGCTTGCGAACTTACAAGTGTATTAGTTTCAGCGCTCTAGGCGTGCTTTTCTTCACGTCAATTGATCTTTGCGGACTCTCCATGTAGTTAGCACGATGAACTATACACAGGCAGCCTAGCCTTGAACTTCCCAGATAACACAGGCAGACCAAAATGTTGTTTCGTATATTTGTTTAATTGTACACTGCTTTCACTAGCCACTTGTAGTCCTAGAATGCGTATTTTTTGTACCCGACAACGTTCTTCAATTTGATATCCACGCCGTAATAAAGATTCTTAAAAAAATATGATAAAAGCGATATATTAAAACATTTAATTAATCAGTACCATTATTTGCTCTAGCTTCAAACTTTATTTTTAAAAGTAAAACATTTATACAGAACTTGTCTKGGCGCATATCCAATGTTTAGCCACCACATGAAATATATGTGAGACCTGTTTAAACTTGACAATCCTCAGCCGATTGAACGTCCTTAGTTGGTGCTTGACGGATATTTTAATGTTTTAATAGTTGAAACGAATAAAACATTTTCTGGCTAACATGCCTAAGTTTAAATGAATTTGAGCATTATCTCCTCCACAGATAAGTGCTCAGTTTCTTCTGTGTTTGGAATTCCTGGAAAGGAGGCATGGTCTTCAACATCGATCTTCAACATAGGAATCTCCCAAAAACCGTTCATTATTATATTCATGATCGGCCGGTTCTTTTACATGACATTAAATGTCAATATCGTTTGTTGTGAATTTATTTGCAGTTTTTTTATTGTTTCAGAAACTTACATAACAACTTGCTCCGTCTATTTGAAAATATATAATTTTTAAGGCTAATTTCTTTATTTACGGAATATAGAAYGTCTGTCATTTTAGGCTTAATATTTAACATTGAGACAGGACGGTTGATGGTTGGAAATTTACCGTGATCAATAAGCCACKTTCTTCGCAATAAGTACAGTGTCTTTATGGAAATACTTTTAAACATCTAATTGCATTAATGACAATGACTATACAGTATTCTACATGGATGTCGTCTCAACTAGTGGTCCTGGTCGATGTTCATAGGGCACGTATCGTCTCCTGAAACAACAATCGTCACACATTATTAATAATGTCTTCTAATTCATGATGTCCAAGCCCCGTTCATTTTTCTAGGACCCTCGGTGTACATGAGATAGGGAGCCCCTAGGTGGTCAGTAAGGAGCCTGTGTACATGAGGTAGGGAGCCCCTAGGTGGTCAGTAAGGACCCTTCATGTGTACATTAGGTAGGGAGCCCCTAAGTGGTATATAAGGACCCTGTGTACATGAGGTAGGGAGCCCCTAGGTGGTCAGTAAGGACCCTGTGTACATGAGGTAGGGAGCCCCTAGGTGGTCAGTAAGGACCCTGTGTACATGAGGTAGGGAGCCCCTAGGTGGTCAGTAAGGACCCTGTGTACATGAGGTAGGGAGCCCCTAGGTGGTCAGTAAGGACCCTGTGTACATGAGGTAGGGAGCCCCTAGGTGGTCAGTAAGGACCCTGTGTACATGAGGTAGGGAGCCCCTAGGTGGTCAGTAAGGACCCTGTGTACATGAGGTAGGGAGCCCCTAGGTGGTCAGTAAGGACCCTGTGTACATGAGGTAGGGAGCCCCTAGGTGGTCAGTAAGGACCCTGTGTACATGAGGTAGGGAGCCCCTAGGTGGTCAGTAAGGACCCTGTGTACAGTGGTCAGTAGAGGAAGAGATATGCCACTACATATAAGCACTCTACTTGATATAGTTCCTAAGACAACGTTGCTGATTGTTACACATTTCTCAAGTCACATCGTACAGCTTTTTGTAACAATTACCGCCATCGATCACAACTAGTCTTTTAGCCAATCAACACGCGCGATTTACCCAAGACGGCCGCTTTTTCTGTGGCGTTTTTGTCAGAATAGACTGTCCAGATTAAGAATCATTATATTTCAACATTCCTGTTCCGACTGTCGAGTCAGAATCAATTTTTGAAATTAATTCATGAGTACAAACTTTKAAAACAGAAAGATCTCGACAAAATCATGATGTACATTTTAAAAGACCAGCCTAACCGTCAGTTCTGTCGCAATGAAAAAGTATGTTTTTTTATAAGGACTTAGGCTGGTATCTTACTCTATGCAAAGCATTTAATTTTGTTTTGTCTTTTTTTTTTCTTCCTCGTAAAATTCTGATAGATCCGGACGTCGCCAAACCAATCAAATAGCGGGTTTAACGGACGTCATAAAAATCATAAATCAAGACAATATATTTTTTCTGTCATCCATTAGTTAAAATTGCTTGTTACAGTTCGGTTCTTCTACTTTTCAAATCACACTGAATAAGTGAAAATATTTTTTCGTTATATCCAATGATTATTAACCGTGATAAGGTGCGTATATCATGCCTTTATGTATTTTGTTATACTTATTAAAGTAAAGGTAAATCTGTAGAACAACCTTTCAGTGGCCAAAAAGCGTACAATTGGTTTGGAGTCCAATGCATTTTAAAGACTGTTTTATAGCATGTTTGTATTMAACGAGAAAAGAAACTTTATCTTTCGTTCCCTGTCAAGAGATCATCTCTGATCATCTTTTTTCTTTAGCTTCTCAAGTTAATTTGTTCTCTCACAGCACTCTATCTAATCAAGTCAGGTTTTTGTGAATTATTCATTGATGAAATTTCTGGTTCTTTCTCGACTGAGACAGGATTTCTGTCTGCTTAGTGTTTCAGAGTTTCAATGCCTTATCTATATCACACTAACGAATCTTAAATGATCTCATTAATCCTATCGCAGAAAAGCACTAGTTGATAACCAAAGGCACGCGATAAAGTCATAATAATGACTACTTCAACCAGTACGAAGAAAGAATTAGGATCAAATAAGAGTGTTCTAGAGAGTGATCTTTTGTTTCGGTATTTAATGTTTCTTAGTGTACAAACACGTGCGTTTCCTTCAATCTTACACTGAGTTTTGACTTACTATTTTTTGAAACAATTACTACATTTATGGTTTACAAACAGATTCTAGCTTTGATTGCAGTCTTGATTCATTAGGATATTAACAAGACAAGCTGAAGTATTGTTGAAGGGTCAAGAAAGCCGTGTTTTTCGGCGATGATTCTTCATTTCCTGACGGAAAAACTTGAGCCTCGGTTGAAGAAGGTACAAAGAGGCGAGCACGTGTCAGCCTGGTTGGTAAAAGGACAGTRGTTTGACACGTTTAAGCTTAGTTCTGTGTTCAAACTGCAATTGTAACCATTGTTTATCAAACACTTCCTATACAAACAACACTACCTATTGTCTTTACAAGAAAATCTTTGGTATCGTCAAACCTTCAGAACTCTGAACATCGAAGGATAATGATATAGATCATAACGAATATTTTACTGTTCGTTAAAGCCGTATTTCAAACAAATATATCGAGAGAAAAACAAATGCTRAAAGGTTTCCATAACACAGGAACTGAAGGTTTTTTGTTTGTTAACTTCACCGCTTTTAAAGTCGCTTGACTTTTTGTTTGTGTTCAAATAACATCATTTGTCATTATTAATCGTTTTTATCTTAACTAGATATTTACTTTTCCGTTGTCTTAAGTCTCAAAAACAAGAAATCAGTTTTTACTTTAGAGAAATCACACTTGATTGATCACTAACAATCCAAAAATACGAGATTTGTAAGCTATTTAATGCAGCATTGTTTTTCTTAATCAAAGTGTGTTTAGGACCTTATTTCATAACGTTAAAATTCATATTTAAATTAAAAGTGTCAAATATCTTTTTCAAATACATTTTCAATTGTGTCCGCCGGAAGAGAAATCAATTATTGCATGGATTTAAGCATTCCTTAAGCTTACCTTTAGGCGAAATCATTCATTGTATCGTGCGCTATCATGTAATTCACTGTTATACAAACTTATTCTGGCAGATTTGTAAAAACTACTTATATTAATCACAATGCAATTGTTGTCTTAAATATTGTCATTTCAAAWTTTTTTATTTTTTTCCGAATCAATGCTCAAAGCCGCCAAAAATACTAGTAAAACAAGAAAATATCAGTAAAGAACCTGAAAGCTCCCGTAATTCTAAGGACTTTTTGAGGGAATTATTTTATGATAATTGTTTGATTTAGTTTCAGGCAATAGATTTCGATTTTATTATTGATGGAACACTAAGCTTTGCTCGAAACTGACGAGAACTTCATAACAGAGACATCTTGGTTCATTGATGGCGGACGATACAAAATATAGTAATCGGATTATGTCTGCCGACACACTCCTCGTGGAATCCAGGCTATCGACTATTCACAGACATCGACTGAAAACCTCTCTGCAGTAAAATCATCATTGTTTGGAACATGTAGATGTTTTCTATGTTTAGATGATTAATTCGCTAATATTCTGCACACCCACTAAATGAAATACCCCAAATGTACAACACGCTTTAGGACAATAAACAGAAACTCTGTTGCCCACGAACAAGACGAAATTATCATTGAATCGAGTCAAACGTCACTAGAGTCGAAGTGAGACAAAGAACATCTCTTCTCTACAACCCACAATAACACAGCGTGAAGTTACAATAATACATGATTATTAAGATATTTAAACGCTATTCTAACACCCACGGACTGGTGAATTGTGGGTAGCTTTGTAAGGCAAGGAATGCATGATGACAAGTGTTACTCACTAGGGGGTCCTATTTGTTTCTTGAACGACTTAAAAACAATAGCGTGGACCTCTTACACAAGGAGTTATTTGAACAAAGAAGAATTCTTCTTGTGAAATGTTCTCTTACCTCGCCCCTTTATCACGAAATCCTTTCGCGAATGGATTGTGGTCGATTTTCATTTGAATCAACTGAAAAAAGGAAAATCACATAAGAACAAAGGATTAGAGTTCTGCTCTTCAAAAAGACCGAATAAGAAAAGATGTTTTTTTCCAGGGTTTTGGTCTGTAGGTCGCATAATTTGAGCACTCGGTAAGATAAAGAAAATATTTTGTAAAATATGAGCTAGATAATCATTATACATATGAACGAATAATGCTATTTACTGATAAATAGTGCTATATAAAACTCAAAGTACTAAAATGAGGAAAGTAAAAGTAAAGTAGAAGCACACGACTACATCGCCCGTGAATTCAAGTTCTTGCGCTAATAATATGCTGAAGAGCAAAAATCTGATTCTAAGTAATGAGAATGAAGTCACCAACAAAGATTTCCATCGCTGCTAATGGTCTATAAAACATGTATGTGTATGAAAATTACGATTTCATATCCAAGTCATTCAAGTATTAAAGTTAAAAGGTATTTTAGAGAGAGATAGTATCTTTCATTTTGAATGATTACTRCAGGACTTGAGTCGTCCATTCATTGATCAGAATACTGACAATTGCTGGAGTCTTTTTGTGCTTAAAACGATAGTTCATTAAATGATAGCATCTTTTCTGGTGCAATGTTGTTTTATGTAATCATTTTATCAAAGTCAGGGAAAACAAGTTATAACGAAGGACGAGAGACTAACKAATCGTGTTGGATACTTTGAGCCTAGATCGATTGACTAAKTCTGTTAGTATGTTTYAAAAAGAAAGACTGCCTTTGATATACAGTCTTGGATATACAGTTTTGGATTTAAGGAAATTGGAAATTCCTGACTTTTCAGTAAGACGACATTTTCGAAAACTGCCTCGTACAGCTACAAAAATATGAAAAATAAAAATATTTTAAAAAGGTTTAATGGAAAATCTTTCCTTCTTTTTTGTTTTTGTTGACAAGCCGCTAATGATATGGAGTATAAATTCATTTTAGCATGAAAATGAGTTTTGAGCTCTGCAGTATTCAAATAATTCAAATGTAAAGATATGTCAGTGTTTCGTGACTAGTATGGTAACATTTAATGAAATTCTTTTTCTTTAATATCTTTATAATGAACCTAAGACGGCAATTAACTTTTACACACATAAAACGATCTCTTGAGTACCTCCTCGTTCTGATAAGTAGTGACTGCGATGAATGACGTTTCTGGGAAGACGAAGGTGGAGCAGGAAAGTTTAACTCCTTCTTCTGATTCTTCTACCACATGTATTCGAGGCTGGTACTTTCTGTTGGGGCTCAACTGAAGCTAAGACATAGTATTGTGTTAAAAAGATTCAGTTGCACACTTTTCAGACGATTGCTTGAGATTAAAGTAAAAGTTATTTTTTAAAAAGACCGTTTATTGTGGTATAACATGGTCACATTTCGATATCTATACGAATACTATTGAAATATAGSTGACCATGAGGCCACCGCGTGCTTTCCCATAAACATACCAACTAAACCTGCATTGTTWTATTACAAAGAAGGCGTTCATTTTACTCTAAGTTCACTTTTTCGATATCACTCTGGGAGGCTAAACCACAGTGCCTGTGATATTGTCAGATAAGATCGTTGGCTTAATATGCGGAAAGAGATCTTTTAAACTCATAGACATCTCTTCATCGATGTGCTCAAAATTAACCAGCATAAAGCCTAACCTAACTTAAATTATGCTCCTTGACTTATCAAAACAATGTTGTGTGGTTGTTTTATAAAGAAAAAACTCGAAAAACCTACATTCTTGCTTTGAAATGAATGTTTTCGGTGTTTTTAATGTTAACGAATGAAGACAATGATCTCTGTTATGAATAAATCATGAGMCGTTCATAAGTCAAAAATCGTCAACTCGCAAATCCTTCCTACACTCGACTAATYTAATGTCAAGTTTTGAAAATTGATTTGCTGATGCAAAATGGTTTGTCCTTGAGATTTTCATACTTTTCAAGTTCTGTTGAAAGATTTAACGCTAAAATAGACCCGCCATATTWTTCAMTACATATTATTCACTAGATGCTTTTGTTACTGTGCACGCATGCGTATTTAWGTCGAMAGCAGAGAGCGATGATTTYTTTTTGCAGCTGATGTTTTATAATTTGATTAGGTTGGTCGTAAGTACTTTTAAAAAAKGCTTTCTARCTACTTACCTCTCCTTCTTTGAAGACACCATTACGCCGATTAGTTAAACGAAGTTTCTTGAAGTCCACGCCATTTTTCATCCAGTAAAGTCCCGTATGGACGACTTCCTCTGCTTGATATGATGATACACAGCTCGATGGTTGAACATCACTCGCGATTGCGTTAACCTGCCACGCGCTGTTYACAAATGTGTAGCTGTAACTATCGACTGGCACCAGGTCAACGTGAATGGAGTAGTATTTCTTGGGGTCCATACCAAAAAATGATAACGATAGGGTTGGAAACATTCGTCTGCATATACAAATACTGATCAATCATATACTAGTTTGACCCAAAATCGAGGTCCTACGCCAGTAGGAAGACGTTATGTAAATGAATTAAAGACTGTGTAGAGCTAAGGGCCTCTACACCTGACATCCCGAGGCTGACTTTATTAACTATTGTCTGCTCTGTGTTATATGAGCTGATATTCATTTAGCAGAGCTCCATTAATGGACCTGGCGTTGCTGCAGTATAGCAACCACGTACATAGACAATGTAAATCATACTAATATCATTTAGAGCGCGATAAAGGTACAGATTGTTATTAAACCCAGGGGATGGACAAAAGACCACACCCTTGTTGGCACGTGCTCCCATTCCTGTACCTCTTTGAGAACTTTTCAAAAGAGACACTAAGGGCCACCTTGAAACTTATCATCACGCAAAAAATTCTATGCTGGTTTGTTTATATTAACTTTAAATGCAGAAARATTTTCTTCAAGTAATATTTTTCATCTTCACTTGGGCCTAAAGTCATTATTATACCTTGTTCCATTGTAATTGCCTTATTGATCATAGTCTATTCATCCATTCATGCTAAACCTCACAAAATGTACGCATTTATAAAGTGAGGATTTCAGTTGCTTTCTTACTTTTCAATTCCATAGAAGATACTAAGAATTGTCTGGTGAACTGAATCTAGGTTGGCTAATAGGTTTTTTTTCATTGACACCTCTTGTTGCTTTTGTGTTTTCCTTCTCAATGAACTTCGCGTTGCTCGGCACGATTTTGCTGGCCTGTTGCTCCGGGAGAGAAACATGTTCATTTGTGCCTACAGATAAGAGATCGATGTTTTTGTGTGCACATGTTAATAGATGGGCTAAAATCACTATTTAGTAATTTTGCATAAATGAAAACAACTAGATCATTACTGAATATCTCTTTATCACATAAACGTTTAAGGCAGTATATGACTGAATGCAAAAATACGAAACTTGGAGCGTATCACTCTTTAACAAAGAGGGTCAAATCATTGTTTGAAATCAACTATTTCAATGATGTTACTGTCACAAAAGTTCAAATATTATGCTTGTATTCAAAGATACCGGCGTATGGCCAAGGATTAGAAATATCGCTTAAAAAGTAAGTCAGCTAGTGACATAACTTTCCCAAAAAATAGAAAAGCATAGTTCACCTGACCTTTTATGATAGTTGATTTTTTTTTATGACTAGTCTTCAACAACCAAAGCCTTTTATTAGACACTGCATGGGTTTAGATCGAAATAATGCTTATTAAATCACACTTTCGTCATATCAAAAGTAGAATCCTAAGACGCGTTCATTATGTGTCGATATTTTGGTTAGTAAAGTTAGAATGACCTTATAAAGGGAATTTCATCAAGTTAGGGTATGCATTGGTTGGCCTGTTATTAACGAGTTGACCGCTCTAGCTGTTTGTAAAGTGCGGCAGGCGAAAATAGCATAGAAAATAATGCATGAGTGACGTAGAGATAACTTTCTTAATTAAAACTTTTACTTTTCTTTGTAATGGATTTCCATTATCGTAGATTATTAGAAACATTTAATTGCGGGCACTTTCTCATCGTGCGGATAGACTATTTCATATGAGAAAAAATATTGTAAAACTGACTGGTAGTCATGAGCAAATGTAGTTTGCGGCTATCGTGTTTGTAAAATGCGGAAACTATGAATATTGTAGTCTCATCAGTGAGGTATGATTTCACGTGAAACGTATTGAGAACTGATGTCAACATACTCCTTAATAAGTTTAGTTTGGAAAAAATGTGGAAAACTTCACAGAAAGAACAATTTGTTTTGAACTTAGTGATGTACACTTTTTTTAGTGAACGATAAGTGCTTCCCGTTACCCCTTGAACAACTTTAGCCTGGATTAGACCACAAATGAATGAACTATGGCCATTCGAAGCTGCGATAAATTTAGCTATTATGAGTGATTTTGCATTGAAAGCACTTCAGATTACTGCTAGTAGCGATTAACTCATGTTTCGCATGGACAAAAGAACGCTTAAAGTGAGGTGTGGGTCTACAGTTACAAGACCCGCCCATCTGATCTCACCTTCCGGTTCGTGTTATAACCATTTCTGTTCCGCACGAGTAAAACTTCCACCACAAATCGCTCTGCTGCAGAGCAACTTGGACTTCTCTCATGGCGATTTTTGGTAAACTGGCACCAAAATCAAAGTTTCTCATCATGTTGAAGCACGTTGGTAAAGTGCTCGTGAATTGTGGTATTTTCGGCTCGTTACTTTGAGTTGCATTCTGTAATAGACTTGTAATAGCATAACCGTTCCTCTTTTGCTGGACAGGAACAGGACTCGAGCTTTCTTCGTCGAGCTTAGTGTCATTATTGAGTAAATTAGCAATGGAAAAAGCTGCAGCCTTTGAAGACATCATCTCATGTCCCGCCATGGAGCTTCTAGCCCAGTATCACGACACTTTGAAGCGCCCTGCAGAACAGTGTAAATAAATAGGTGCGAACATTCAACTAATTGTCAAGTTTAAGACACTCTAAACTAAAGGTGGTGGTGAGGGTTTCCAGGGGCGGGCCAATCAGCTATTACTATTGCGCTAGGACTGATAATTGAGTGACGATCACCCAATCGTATTGACGCCTTTGAATCCAGGTGTAGAATATCCATGGTCACTTTATCACACTTCAATGTACGAAAATTAAGGCAGATCCAATTAAAAACGATGAGAGCTTATAGAGGGTTTTAGGTGTATAGATAGAGCTGTGATAAAAGTAATCTCAACAGCGGACCGGCACACTAAGACGATTATTCAAATCTCCATCATTACATTGCGGTCACAGCGCTACTGGTTGATCGACTTCTAATTCCTCGTACCTTAATCAAACTGTTTTTGTTGAAAACCTTTACCGAGAAGAATGCAACCGCAAGGTAGTGTGCGAGAGGAAAGTGTGGTTTACTAGTATGTTATTAACGCCTGGCTCGCGTGTCGATTTTGTTGACAATAAGTTTGATGTATGGCACTTGTCTTTTCCATCTCTGTTAAGCCAATTAAGGCCCTTAGAAAAAACCCTACCCGCTTGTCTCTTGTTGTTTAGTTGAAATTTCAAGGGCCAAAATATTCAATATCAGTTTAGAGACTAAAGCGGAAAAATAGTGCTGAAACATTCAGAGTAGATCAATACCTTATAACACTTTAATGTACCGCGCGCGCTCCTCAAAATCCGCGATTGATTTCGCCTGGAGTAAAACTGGTATATCATTTTCAACAATGTAAACTTTTACTTCGTTTTGCTATGATATCATCATCAACAACAGACAAAAATGAAATTCATTTCATTCAATTTTTAGTTTAGAAACGAAAGCTAACGATCGTGCATCGTATGATAAAGTTTGCATGCAACAAAGCTTTGACAACGAATATCCTCAAACCTGGTCTTGAAAGGGTCTTTTTTTTCGTGAATTTATGAAGGGTTTTAATAATAAAACGTTTGATAAGAACTTGGCGTTTGACGTGTACAAATTAGCCATAAATCAGGTGGAACTCGACGTACTGACTCGAAACTTTGAAGGAAATTTTCAGTAACGATATTATCACTTCTGTGGCGAGCAAAGTGCTGTTTTCATACTAGATAAAATAGCATTAACATGTCGGTTGATTTGATCTGCGCCTGACTCATTCAGCAAGTCACAATGCATTCGCCTTAATTGTATTGGAAACTTTTGCTGTCGAAAACAATATCTTCTTTCAACAAAACCATTTTTGACTTATTGTGTTTTCTTTGTTGCTTTATGTGCTTTGTTTAGCAGAGTTTTTTCAATTAAATCAGTGTTATTTACTCTCTTTATCAAGTCTTTATATATTCAATTTTAACGCTTTAAGACAGTCTCTCTTGAACAATAGGTCACTATAAGGTCTTCTCATGAAATGAAGCCCCAAACCCGTGAAACAGCATATAATCACG